GATACACCGTGTTTTAGCTATTATCATTTCCGGTAGAGGGAGGTAACTCGGTGTCACATTCGATGTTTAAAACATAATATATACTATCTGTAGATAAGCAAATGTCGTGACCTCTATGCTCTAATACACATCTAGTATCATTATACACAATTAACCATGCGACGTAAACTCCTGTCATTCTATTTCACTGATCAGCGTCTCATATCCTCACCGGAATCATGAGGGACTACTTATTTGCAAATATAGACGAGAAAGAGCAAGAGTTATTATGGAATCATAAAGCTTGAGCCCAACAATAGTTCTCAGACAGGAAACCAGAGGAAAACCTTGCACTTGAAAAAGTTCTTAGAGAATTTCATTAGCGTGTCTTTTTAAAAAATTAAGCAAGTGCAGTCTGAGTGATATTTGAGCATAACATATACAGTACAGACATTTAATACGTCAGACTTCAGTGGTATGGTGAACATGTGGAAAATATCACGTGAATCAGCGCAAATTCAATAACACGAACGCTGTGGAATTAAACATGGCCAAGAGATCACACGTGACAGGGGTTACTGAGGTCAATACCAGATGGATCTAATTACAGATAAGAGATTCAAATGGCGGACTGAAAAACACAGTGCTTTGTAATTATTGTTTAAATCGTCTGCTGAACCGCATATCACATAATCATTCTCATTGATTCGGAAAATTTGACACACAGTAAAAATATGGATAATCTACAGTCTCATAGCAGAGGCATGACGCCAAATAACATTGGCGTTCTGGAGAGCGAGGCAGGGCAATTAGTATTTTATTAACATCTAGGGAGTGAAAGCAACATCAAATCAGTGAGACATTGTTTTCAGCATGAAGTCATTCACAGAATACATATGCTCTAAATTCAAGGACACAAAACGAAATGATCAACCGAATCACCTGTAGCATAAACTGCCTAAAAAACCCGAGAACATTGATTGATTAATGTAGCATAAACTGCCCAAAACACGCGAGAACATTGATTGATTAATTGATTGATTGATTCAAACTTTTTCAATTACAAGTAAAGAAACAATTCCAATTAAGATGTATTCCTTTTTTATTGACTGATTGACAAAAACATTTGTACTGTGTATATTGTGCAATGTTTAATTTCCCCCGATGACTGAACCATCCTTTGCCAGAAGTGCCTTCGCACTGAAATTCAGCACTGACCTTCCGGAAACAAGTTGTTTCCGACATTGCGTGTTATTGTTTCCTGTAAAGGTTTCATATTACGTGGATGTCCTTAGTTCTTGTACTTAATGTGAACATGGCGTTTATCGATAACTGTGTGAGATTTCCTGAAGGTTCCAACATGTCTTTTATTAAATTTCGCATGGATTGTAGAATCCGTAGATATAAAAATCCTTTTAAGAGTAAAAACCTAGACAAACTATCGCCTGTGATGATGGTGGAACCCCTGTCCTCCAGAACCGGCTCGCAGATGTAGTACTTCATCGTCAACTAGGGATAGACTTTTCAATACTTATTGATCTAGCTTTTTTGACCGAAATCGTACATAACAACTGGGCTTTTATGACCGAAAATGGCCTGGAAAGTTGTATCGTATTACGGTGGTACGAGTTATTCCCCTTAGTATACATGCATTCTATTTAAGATAATACTTAATCCGTTTAGACTAATATGTCGGTACAAGTGTAGCGGGTGTATTAACGTTTGTAAGTGACAATGTATAAATATATAATCTATAAATCCTTAATTCGGTTTAACAGCATTTCGGTTTCCGTAAAACCTTCCATACATGTTTAAGCACTGATCTTAAAAAACTGAAGGGCTCTGACGTCTAGAGGCGGTCATTCAACGGGTCCCTATTTAGTTGGTTGTTTTTACGTTCCCCGCCCGTCAGAATGCACCTTACTAGTATGAAGACCTTTTCCAGGTAAGAAGTGTTATTTTACAGTTCTGTAAACACCTGATATTGTAGTTACCTATCGGGAGGCTGCTTTATAGACTTGTTGACGTCATTTACCCAATATATGGGTGAGTACGATCGCATTTTAATGTAAGGTTTGTGTTAATAGACATTTTAATCCTTTAAACTTCTTTATGAGATTAAAATTGGACAATATAGTTCTGTATAGGACTAGTTAATAGGGTTTATATATCAGGTGGAAACTTTTCAATATGGCACCTATATTTCTGTACATGATATACCTATTTCAATTTGTTTATCAACCAAAATGGTTAACTAAACGTGATCATTTCCGTAATTATTCATACATAGAATAGCTGTATAAATTGATAAAAAATATAAATGAATAAACAAATAAATAAATAGCCTTCTACAATGAGATCGACAAATAGTTTTACAAACTTTAGAAAAAGTATCGACCAAGGGCCATATTTCAATCGCAATCAAAGGCTGTAGATTATATTTTTTTTCTTTCCGTTTCATAGAATTGTGATAAAATATTGTTATAAAAGAGGGGAAAAGTAATCTGATATATATGTGACTTCACTTAAATAGAAAATACCACAAAATCAATATGCCTGTCTAGATGTTATACAAACAAATAAATTGGTCTACAAATGTTATAGGTGTTGCCATTTCTGTTGTTGTTGGTAAGCAATGTCAAGGTTGTCGCAGCCCGTTCCATTACCTTTTCAATCTATTTTCAGAAATTTGCAGTTAAACAGCTTTTTCAATATATTTTTTTAACTTTGAATCACGTAATGCTTTTTTTAGGAAATCAGAAAATATTGAAAAATATTATCACAAGATAATAAATGAATGAAAAACGTGAAACAAATAGATATGTTGTATTCTGTAGAAATATTGTAAGGTTAATTTAAAATAAAAGGAAAAGCTTATTTGTCTATCATTTTCAATACATCACACAATTTCAAATGTCAGAGTCGACACCTAAACTATCTTAATTTGTGTAAGATAAGAACATTTATGGACATATATCTCTAAAAAAGTGCAGAAATGAGGAATTATTCGTTCAGCATTAGCACTTCAGTATTCATCTTAGTGCTTTCAGTATTCATCTTAGTGCTTTCAGTATTCATCCTAGCGCTTTCAGTATTCATCTAAGCACTTTCAGTATTCATCTTAGCAGTTTCAGTATTCACCTTAGCGCTTTCAGTATTCACCTTAGCGCTTTCAGTATTCACCTTAGCGCTTTCAGTATTCATCTAAGTACTTTCAGTATTCATCTTAGCGCTTTCAGTATTCATCCTAGCGCTTTCAGTATTCATCCTAGCGCTTTCAGTATTCATCTAAGCACTTTCAGTATTCATCTTAGTGCTTTCAGTATTCATCCTAGCGCTTTCAGTATACACCTTAATGCTTTCAGTATTCACCTTAGCGCTTTCAGTATTCACCTTAGCGTTTTCAGTATTCATCTTAGCGCTTTCAGTATTCACCTTAGCGCTTTCAGTATTCACCTTAGCAGTTTCAGTATTCACCTTAGCGCTTTCAGTATTCACCTTAGCGCTTTCAGTATTCACCTTAGCGCTTTCAGTATTCATCTAAGCACTTTCAGTATTCATCTTAGCGCTTTCAGTATTCATCCTAGCGCTTTCAGTATTCATCCTAGCGCTTTCAGTATTCATCTAAGCACTTTCAGTATTCACCTTAGCAGTTTCAGTATTCACCTTAGCGCATTCAGTATTCACCTTAGCGCTTTCAGTATTCATCCTAGCGCTTTCAGTATTCACCTTAGCGCTTTCAGTATTCATCTTAGTGCTTTCAGTATTCATCCTAGCGCTTTCAGTATTCATCTAAGCACTTTCAGTATTCACCTTAGCAGTTTCAGTATTCACCTTAGCGCTTTCAGTATTCACCTTAGCGCTTTCAGTATTCATCTTAGCGCTTTCAGTATTCATCTTAGCGCTTTCAGTATACACCTTAGCGCTTTCAGTATTCATCTTAGCGCTTTCAGTATACACCTTAATGCTTTCAGTATTCACCTTAGCGCTTTCGGTATTCATCTTAGCGCTTTCAGTATTCATCTAAGCGCTTTCAGTATTCATCTAAGCGCTTTCAGTATTCATCTAAGCGCTTTCAGTATTCATCCTAGTGCTTTCAGTATTCATCAAAGCGCTTTCAGTATTCACCTTAGCAGTTTCAGTATTCACCTTAGCGCTTTCAGTATTCACCTTAGCGGTTTCGGTATTCATCTAAGCGCTTTCAGTATTCACCTTAGCGCTTTCAGTATTCATCTTAGCGCTTTCAGTATTCATCTTAGCGCTTTCAGTATACACCTTAGTGCTTTCAGTATTCATCTTAGCGCTTTCAGTATACACCTTAATGCTTTCAGTATTCACCTTAGCGCTTTCAGTATTCACCTTAGCGCTTTCAATATTCACCTTAGCGCTTTCAGTATTCATCTTAGCGCTTTCAGTATTCATCTAAGCGCTTTCAGTATTCATCTAAGCGCTTTCAGTATTCATCTAAGCGCTTTCAGTATTCATCCTAGTGCTTTCAGTATTCATCTAAGCGCTTTCAGTATTCACCTTAGCAGTTTCAGTATTCACCTTAGCGCTTTCAGTATTCACCTTAGCGCTTTCAGTATTCACCTTAGCGCTTTCAGTATTCATCTTAGCGTTTTCAGTATTTATCTTAGCGCTTTCAGTATTCACCTTAGCGGTTTCAGTATTCATCTTAGCGCTTTCAGTATTCATCCTAGCGGCTTCAGTATTCATCTTAGCGCTTTCAGTAGTCACCTTAGCGGTTTCAGTATTCATCTTAGCGCTTTCAGTATTCACCTTAGTGTTTTCAGTATTCATCTAAGCGCTTTCAGTATTCACCTTAGCAGTTTCAGTATTCATCCTAGCGCTTTCAGTAGTCACCTTAGCGCTTTCAGTATTCATGGACGAATACTGAAAGCGCTAATGCTTAACGAAGACTTCGTCTTTTGTGCAATATAAAATATTTTAAACCGAACAATGTAAATATATACTGTTACATTATATGGTAACCATTTGCAGACTGATCATTGGGACTTACGATGGAAAATGACCACGAAACTGACTCAAATACAGTTGACAACAGAGCCACAAGTGGAAAGACACAGCGGACACCAAGCGTGACTTTTGGTGGGGTTCATTTGCTAGCGACGCCGGATCTTACAGAACCTATACCAGAAAAAGACGACTTCGACCCAACCAGGATCCCTTCTAGTATACTTCGCCGGAAGTCCAATATTGCAATGGACAGTGGAATTCCAGGTATACATTTTTATGAATATTTTCTTAATGGCTGGCCACGTTAAGTGTAATTTTGTATATAGTACAACTGTAAATGGCAGAAAGTCGATATATTATTACAGTGAGTGTTATTCGGTCCAAACTTTGTGTAAACCTTTGAATCTGACGTTACTAAACAATCCTAATGAGTACTGTGTAAACTATTGCATTATCATCTATTATAAGGATGGTGCCTCGAAATGGAACAAAGTAATTTATTTTCACATTTAGAATAATTAACACCACTTTCGATCTCTTGGGAATGAGTGTTCGGCCCTTTAAAAAACTCTAGGTAAATTCGCACCATGCTAAAACAATTGTTAAGTGAATCGTCAGCCACCATAAATCTGAGTAGAAAACTTAACCAGAAGAATGACCAAAGTTCAAAAGATGCCAAAAGTTATGTGAAAAAAGAAAACAGTTGTCATCCTGTAACATTAATAATGGCAGGCCCCTAAAACTGCTATATATAGTATCAGCATCTGATTATTAAGTGAATGGTGAGCACATCAATACCTTTAACAGTGAAATATTATCCAATGTTAACTCGGACAACCCCCGTTTTACCGGTACTAATCAGTGTTCTCTGTATATGTATTTGACATAAGTATGTGTTTAGATAATAAAGTATAGTCTAGCTGCATACACTTCTGCTAGGTAATGTTCTCCTTGTTTGACACATAAAATCAACCATTATGATCAAAATATTTAAAATTCTAAAGACGGGGATCAGTCTGATGTTAATTGTAACTAAATATTTCATTCTATTTCTAGCGACATCGATCGATGTACAACCAGCCACGCCCACAGTGGACACTATGATACCAAGACGAGAAGCTGAAAACAAAGCGCGTGCGCTCCTGACAGAGGAAACTCTCACGTTACCGACCAGACCAACAAACAGAAGCAGAATAGAAAAGTCGTTTGTAAACTTTGTTGTGATTGGTCATGTTGATTCTGGAAAGTCTACTTTGATTGGTCATCTTGTTTACCTGTGTAATGGTATCGACAAAGAGACGATGAACAGATTAGCACGAGAGGCTGACCTGGTGTGTGAACTAACTCTGTGTTAATTTTTCTTTTTTGATCGTAATAGCCATGTATTTTGTTTCATATCAGTGCCCTTGTATACCGTCACATATATATGCCAATGTCATATTTACATTGTATCGTATAAAAACTCAAAATAGTTTTCCGTTATCACTAAGTAACACCATGATTGTCTCGGTTCTGAAAAATACGTGGCGTCCGAGTTTATCTTTTAGTTTCAATTTTAAATTTTAAAGCTCGCCTTTTTATACGCCCGTCGAAAGACGGGCTGTATTATGTTTTCACGCGGGCGGGCGGGCGGCCGCACATAGGTTTGCGTTCGATAACTTGAATATTTTTTTGTAGATTAATTTGAAAATTCACATGAATGTTGATTACCATCAAAGCCCGGTCAAGTTCGATCACCAAAACTTTTCGCCCTTAATTTCCCCTCAATAACTTGAGTAATTTTTCATTTATTTATTTGAAACTGCGTATGAAGGTTCATTACAAAAATAGTTTTGGACGGACGTGTATTGTTCCGCCCTGCGGTACTCTTGTTGTATTTAATTATGCTATTCCTTGGTTACAGGCGGGTAAGGCGTCATTTAAGTATGCCTGGGTCATGGACAAGTTGAAGGGGGAGAGGCAGAGAGGAATTTCAATTGACAGCAAACTGAGGCGGTTCGAGACTCCAAACAACTATGTCGTCATCATAGACTCCCCGGGACATCGAGACTATGTACACAACATGATCACCGGGGCATCACAGGTCTGTGTGCATTACATCACTGTTTTTCTGTGTAGTTTTGCATAGGATTATGCCTTAGCTTAATTATTGTATGGCAGAAGGCACTGTGCTCTATCAAGTTTGTCATCACTTTTATCAAATACTATGTCTCTTTCTCCTTTATACTTTGATAAAAAAAAATGTTCATATCGAACCAATTTCTTATTCTTAATAGGAGTTTACTTTACGGTTCCGTTTTAGGCGGACGTGGCTATATTGGTAATATCTGCAGAAAAGGGCGAGTTCGAGCAGGGAGTGAAGAGGCGGGGCCAGACAAGGGAACACCTCCAAGTCGCATATTCTTTCGGTGTAAAACAACTAATTATTGTCATCAACAAGATGGAAACAACATCACCGCCCTACAGCGAGGTAAGATTCTATACAAGGGAGATAACTGTCTTTGATAGAACATGACACACCAAAGTAACAGTGAAATAGAGTCTAAGCAGGGGAGAAAATTGGTTTTGGTAGGTAGGCCACAACAGTCTACACTTACGTAGGATCTACGGAGGGGAGATAACTGTCCTGTTACGATTTATAGCTCACAACAGTCCACACCTAGATAGAGTATATGCAAGGGGGATAACTAAGTTTGCTAGGATAGACCATCACAACCTACAGAGCTAATTTGTATAGTTTGTTTCACAGTCCCATATGTAGAAAAATATTCATTCCTTAATTCCTATGAAAATAATTCGATGGTGTGACACGTGAGAGTGAATTCTTTTCACTAATCTGCCTAAAGGGCCGAGTTCGACCAGTCCTTTAAGGGGTCACTTCTCTCATTTGCATATGGTTCTAATCGATAAGTTGTATCGAGTGATTTCGAGGTAGCGCCCCTTTAAGTTTTTCTTCTGTGTTATGTAGTTTTCTGCGGTAACAGGATCTTTAATTTTGATGTCTTCCACTAAGACAGTGATTCATCATCGTAAAAACTGTTTTATAATTACAATTTGTAACGGACACTCTGGTCAGCTTTTGCGACAGTGTGTTCGATTCCGAATGTCCATAGGTGACATTAACGTTGAAATGGCAAGACCTAGTCGTGGAAATAAGGTAGATAATAAAGCTCTATTTGAGGGAGTGGCGTGGTCAGCAGTGGTAATAGATTCACGGACAGAATAACTGAACAATGAGATTAGTGTTGAAACGAACGCGCCGATGGGGAACCCCCACTCAACTTCCGTCAGTAGCTTGAGTTCGACACGTGCGGTGACAGAGTCAAATGAGGAAACTTATATCGGGAGTGGATGTTGTCGTCTAGTTCGGATGACAGTTCCGATATACACAAAGCGAGTAATGCATTTTCTGTAGCGCTAAAGTCTTTATCCAAACGTTCGGGAATTAAAACGGAATTGTATGATTCTGTTGCCCTTCCTCAAAAGTATCCTCATCAATTTTGACATTTTGAATATATCAATGACAACATACCCTTTAACATGTTGTCCTTCAAATTGTTCGTAGTAGGCGAACTAGAAAATATAGCAAGTAAGAAGTAAACTGGAGTTGAAAGAGGAGGCATGACAAAGTATTTGTTAATTTAGCCTACAGTTGGTTCTTGGCTGTATATAAAAGAAATGGAAATACGGAAAGGGGATCAGCTAGTGTTGAAAGGTGTGCTCAAATTTGCGCTACATGTTGAAGGTAAAGGCAAAGTCGAGAGAGCCTACAGTTGGTTCTGAACTGTATATAAAAGAAATGGAAGGTACGGAAAGGGGGATCACCAGGGAAAGGTGATGCTCAAATTTGCGCTACATGTTGAAGGAAAGGCAAAGTCGAGAGAGCTCACCAGGAATCCTCCCAAGAATGCCTCAATCATATCTGACTTGGCCCAGGGTGTGGAAAATCCTCCCAGGAATGCCTCAATAATGACCCAGAGTGTGGAAAATCCTCCCAGGAATGCCTCAATCATATCTGACTTGACCCAGGGTGTGGAAAATCCTCCCAAGAATGCCTCAATAATATCTGACTTGACCCAGGGTGTGGAAAATCCTCCCAGGAATGCCTAAATCATATCTGACTTGACCCAGGGTGTGGAAAATCCTCCCAAGAATGCCTCAATAATATCTGACTTGACCCAGGGTGTGGAAAATCCTCCCAGGGATGCCTCAGTCATATCTGACTTGACCCAGAGTGTGGAAAATCTTTGTCTAAATTTAGGACAAGGAAAACTTTTGTAAATAGGCTCCAGTACTGTCTGGTTGAATAGTTTCTACCCTATCTTTATAATGATATAGGGTATATGACGTCAAACGTGAGGGTAAGAAATTCGAGTTTCTCGCACTAAAATCCGGAAAAATGTGATAGAACAACACCGTAAAATCCTGGAGTCGGGGTAATATAAGTATAATTTTGAAAGGAGACGGCTGTCCGTTAAATCGGCATTCAGCGTCGGTTTTTCCGAGCTGTGTTAACCAACCACAAAGACCGGAACATTTGCGATTTGATTTGTTTTCGCTTTGAGGTTTCAGATATCAACACCCCGGTAAGTAATCGGCTACAGTCATTGATTATCCTGAGCAAAATGATGAGTACATACATATTTGGAACGGGAGCTGAAGGTGGGGTCGTTATAGACCCTTTCGAGGTTATCCTCTCTCTGTATACATATAAGATTATCTCTCAATTCTGTACCTAAAAGAAACCAGGAAGAATATTATTAACTTCAGTCTACTATTAGGTAAGTCCGCCAAGTCTCACAAAGGTTACTTAACTCCATAAACATATACATGTAGTTCTAACATGTCCCAGAGTGAATGATCTTATTCAACTGATCAAAGAGAATGGCAGGGGATGTCATTTGTTCTGTTGATATCTCAAATGTACATACTGACAAATTCCTGTTGACCCTGGGGAAAATTACGTTGTGGGAATGTAGAGTGGTAAGATTAACTTTACAAAAGGGTACGGAAGCCCTACCAGACAACACCCAGAAACTATGTTTGTACATTCAGTTTTTAATAAGTATAAAAGTGCTGATTCTTTTTGCAATTATGGCACATTACTGGTTATGCAGAAATTAATTTGAAGTTAATCTTGCCCTGAGAGGTATAGCCCGACTCCATCCTCACTGCCTAAATAGAGCATCCCCCATCATTCCACAGATTTTGTCAGCGGGGCAAGTGTCTACTTGGTTAAGATAGACCACAACAACATGCAGCGATGTCCACGCGTTGTCTTTGTTAGGGTATGCATTGTATGTTTTGAAACATAAAGAAATTTAAAAAGACAACTTCATATTGTGGACAGATTTAAAGATCATTCCTGGTCTATATTGATTAAATCTACAGGATAAGTAAGTCTGAGTAAGTACAAATATATTGTAACCGTACCATATAAAGTAGTTGGTAATTACTGATAACTTGACCACTTTCATCTGTTATCTTTAGACGAGATACAACAACATCATCAAAGTGCTGACTCCGATGATCAAAAGGATCGGCTTTGACCCGGATGCCATTGCCTTCTTACCAATATCAGCCTTCGACGGCGACAATTTGGTGACGAAATCTCCAAACATGCCATGGTTCCATATGTGGCGCGTGAAAAGAGGTTCCGGTGGGGCTGGGGGCCACACCCTGCTTGAAGCGATGGACCAGGTCGACACTCCAGTCCGGATGCAACACCGACCCCTTAGGGTTCCAATACACTCCGTGTACAAACTAGGGGGTAGGTACTCAACACATACACCTCAGGGTCTCCGATATACTCCGTGTATAAACTAGGGGGTAGGTACTCAACACATACACCTCAGGGTCTCCGATAAACTCCGTGTATAAACTAGGGAGTAGGTACTCAACACATACACCTCAGGGTCTCCGATAAACTCCGTGTACAAACTAGGGGGTAGGTACTCAACACATACACCTCAGGGTCTCCGATATACTCCGTGTATAAACTAGGGGGTAGGTACTCAACACATACACCTCAGGGTCTCCGATAAACTCCGTGTACAAACTAGGGGGTAGGTACTCAACACATACACCTCAGGGTCTCCGATAAACTCAATGTACAAACTAGGGAGTAGGTACTCAACACATACACCTCAGGGTCTTCGATAAACTCAATGTACAACATATATCAGGAAACACGGTAAAGATTTATTAATAACAAACAATTCAAGATAATGCAATCTAGATAAACTATAACATATTTCGTTTGGTCAATGTAGTGTGATACCGTTACATTTAACTCACTAGAAACTATTCTGTCGGAATCAAATATTACATGTATTTTGTGTTTATGTGCTTACCTGTTTTCCATGCTTTTCATAAAGTAGATACATAAGTGTATATTTCATATGTTGATATTTTCCTAGATATTGGTATTGTGACAGCTGGTAGAATACACTCTGGATGTCTAAGACCAAACATGGCCGTCACGTTCGCCCCGAATGGCGTCAAGGCCAAGGTGAGTGAATCTAACGTTTTTCATGTACAGTACAATTACAACATGTGCATATTTAACACTGGTGATTTACTAGCCGCAACATACCACTGAGATAAAGAGAACTTCTTTTTAACTTGATCGGTCGAGTTTCAGACTAGTAAGGCAGGGGCCCCGGGTTCCAATCCTAGCAGAGTCATTTAAATAGACATGACTTATGTTCCATTTGCGCCTATGTAGGGACTCGGGAATAACATTTAGCTTTACTACACAAGCTTCTCTTTAACCCCTGGAAACTCGATGACGAGAGGGATTATGTAGCCATGGCAAATACTTGCCGCAATATACTGCTCAGCTAGGATTCGAACCCGAAACTCGCCTTTCACCCAAGCAACCTATGCCCGATTCCTTTATCAGGCTGTAGTGATAAACCACTCGCCTTTCACCCATACAACTTTGGGTCCGATTCCCTGATCAGGCTGTAGTAGTAAACCACTCGCCTTTCACCCAGACAACTTTGGGTAGTAGTAAACCACTAGCCTTTCAGTCCCGCAACCTGGGACCGATTCCTTGATCAGACACGAAAAGTCTACGGTAAAACCACACTAGTTTTCACAGTTTACCCCGGCTTGTTTCCAAAATACCTTGCGCCTCCATCTGGAAGAAAAAAGTCTTGGCGTTCAAATAAGCTGGTGTAACTTCTATTTCAACTGTCTAAAATTGATTTGGGTTCTGACATAATATCATTATTATACGGTGAACATTTCCGTGGCACAGGTAAGAGCTGTACAGGTGTTCCGAGAGGTGATGACGGAAGTCCACGCGGGAGACAACGTAGGGATCCAGATAGAAAACCTCGGACTGAAGGATATAAAAAAAGGCGACGTTTGTGGAGATCCGGAGGAAGATCCACCAAGGCAGGTCGGAAAGTTCACAGCTCAGGTAAGTAAGAGAAACCACACTGGAAGATCGTTAAGGTAAGTCATCCATAAGGTAGGTTATCATTGACCTGAGAGTCAAATAAAAACCTGTCCTGTCCCGTCCGTTCTGTTCTGTCCTATTCGGCCGAAAGTTCATAGCCAACTTTAAGTCGAAGAAATCACAAAGGAAGGTAAAAACGTACACAGTCCAGGTGCGTACACATATGTATGTCACAGGGTCCACAGCGGAAGGTTGGAAAGTCACAATTCAGTCACATACATGTAAGTATGTCACAGTATCTACACAGGAAAGTCCAGGTAAATTACAGGAGCCATCCACAGCATACATCAGTTAGGTCACATCATGCATTAAAGACGGATAGTTCGCAGCTCAGGTAAATAAAAAAGATTTCACAAAGGGAGATCAGGAAATACGCAAATAAAATATATCAGAGTATCCACACATGAAGGTTGAAATTGATAACTGTTTCTTGTTACCAAAATTACTTAGGAAAAGGAGTGTATTTTTACTGAAATAATGAAACAGACAGTATATTAAATGTGTTTTCTGTCCTCGATTAAAAAAAACTCGTCTTAAGTAGTATGTTACGGAATTTTCAATATTTTGTTGATAAACAGATAAAAAATTCGATCATTTGTTTATAGATCCTGGTGTTGAATCATCCTGGACAGATCAAGAAAGGTTACACGCCCCTTCTAAACGTTCACACGGCCAATGTAGCATGTAAATTCGTCGATATCAAGGAGCGATGCGACCGTCGCACCGGAGAGATGGCAGAGCAATCACCGTCCTGTTTACTTCCGGGTCAAGTGGGCGTGGTCGAGATGGTACCAATGAAGCCATTATGTGTGGAAAGTTTTTTTGATTATCCGTCCCTTGGACGTATTGTCATTCGCGACCTCAAGCAGACTGTGGCGGTCGGTGTGGTTATAGATGTGGACGGTCGGTCGACGCGTACAGATAGTGATAAGATGAAAGGTCAGAGTCGGTTTGTGTCCAATAATTTCGGAAATGATTCTCAATTAGATAACCTTACTCTTGGACCAGATTCCAGGCCAGTTACAGCTGGAGACCCACAAACAGTCAAAACTGACGAAATGGAAACCAGTTCACCTGTAATCATCAAAACTGATCCGGGAGAACCGGAGATCGCAGCAGACTGTGATCAACCGCCTTTAACAGACGACAGTAAAATTGACACTCTCAAGACCGATAAAGTAACGTTTCGAACTGGGTCAGGGAAACTCGAGTCAGAGTTGTAAAAAGTGACTGATTTTTATTGAGAAAAAACATATAACTAAATGCAAGGGTGATATATGATTTTTTTTTCTTCATTTATAAAATTTCACTGCTAAAGTGTTTACATATATCACCGCTACACAATGAACTATTATTATTTACAAGTATCAAATATCCGTACCGATGATTTTAAGAAACATGCTGTCATTTCCTCGCTGTATTGAATTGATCACTGACACAGTAGAACTGTAACATTAACCTATATAAGAAGACAGACAATTGTTTACTTTTATAGAATTGATACAGAAGTATCAACTGTTGTATTTAAGATGGCTATGTAATCATTGTCTCACCAATAAATTTGTCTAGCACACCTTATCACTGCTATTAAGAGAGATGTTTATACAAAATCTTATTACAAAAGATCAATGCAGTTTTTATCAAACAATTACTTTTGTTCCATACTTTGTTTCTTCATCAAAAATGAAATAATGGAAGGATGACTTAATCATCATCGGGACAAGTGACTGTGTTTGTGCTGAAGAAATGTCGTTTCGCCATGTTTGTGCTCCCAGACGTTTTACTCATATCATATTCCTATGTGTAATTGGATTGCGTCATTGTGTTGCCATGTAGGGTAGGTTTACCCATATATGGAGATCCGATATTAAACGGGGATGATGATATGTTATTTGCAAAACAAAGTTAATAATATAAGCCAAAGCAAACGGTTTTACTGAATGTGACTCTCTCTCTCCGTAAACATTTACTTGCAGTAACATGGGTTTAAATTAAATGGATGTTTTAAAACCGTTATAACGCTACGTTCGGACTTTGGTCTATACCCCGACTTTCTTCCACTGTCCGAAAAATCAACGCGTGTTAACTGAAACCGAATACCTGTCATGATCGCCAATTTCTTGGGGTTATATTGAATATGTCTACATCAACCAGCTGGACCGACATAACCCTGACATTCACACTGACGGACTCTAGATCATACAGCATATCGACAGAATTCAATTTACAGCACTTAATTAAACGTTGATTAAATGTATTTGAACACAACCCTGTTGGAATCGCATATCTCATATAGTTTAGCTTCATGCACAGAAAATCAGGGAAATTCATTGATAAATTCCATGAAATAAAGACAAGGACAACATGCATTCTCAAGGGTTCACAAGAGTGAAAAGAAAGCCCTCAACACCTCAGCATACCATAACTGACATACCACGGCCACATTCATACCAAGGAAAAGGTGAACACTATTTTCGGGAGCTTTGTTTCTCGTGATAACGCATGCCTGCCACGAAAATCACACTTGGCTTCGGTTTGAAGACGTGTATAACCTTTGCTTTTGTATTCTATATACGTACATTTTGGGAAATGTTTAACGCGGTGTTTCAAATCTGTTCATTTCGTTAGACAATAATTTAAGAATACCAGCGAAATCAGACAGTGAACTAATATCGGGTATTACATTTTGTAAATTGTGGTATTAAATTTCGCTCTTCACCTCCTTTTAACTTCATTTGATTTAATTATTTCTAGCCGATATAATTGTGTATCACGGGATAGGAAACGTATATCAAACGTATGTAAAACAGATCCGTATACCAAAACCCAATAGCTTCAAAATCTCACCACATTTGAAATATTTCGCAAAACTGTTGCTCTATAGTTTGTTACTTTAAACATGAATACCTCTCGATAGGTTGTTTTTATTAGGTGCATTATAGTTTAAGTGAACAAGCACCTTGTATGCAAATGAGTCTACAGCCACACGGGCGATTCTGTAAAACATGTATAAGAAATACACCAAAGGAAGGACGGTGGGCGTATCTTAGCCTCAAAAGGAGACCTTCAAACTTTAGTTATTGATTATTGATTTTTGTAAGTATCAGCAACATGCATGAAATTGGTGTTTTAGGACCTTCTGGTAGCTTAGTGGTGAGGCTAGCTGTAACGACAAGGTCACTGACAACAATTACCTACAATTGTTGTCCTCTATTGAAACTATTCAAGACGTCTGTTCTCAAAAAAGTGGAGAGGAATGACCTAACAACAAAATATATTTTGTAACTTTCGACAGAAATGAGTTGTAAACTTTATTGTATTAACATTATAAAATGTCTCGTCTTAAGAACATGACGTATAGCTGATCAAAGAGACCTGTATAACACATGTACATACAACCCATACAATAAATTATCTTATTCATTGAAATATATACAAGCATTCGACTAAAATTAATGTAATGTCGCAATATACTGTATGCAAGTCTTATCCACATATATATATTATTGTAGATAAATGGACTACTCAGTATCACTGACACAAGATTTTGATTTCAGGCTCCGTGTAAATCTACATCTGATATAACTTTGAAGTGACCCTCTTTGGCTAAGACTCTAAAATCGAATATACTGTGTTTGAAAAATGAATATCGTACTTGTATATGCCATTAAAAATAAAATCGAAATTATTGCAATATAAGAATGATTGTATATACTCACACTATTAAGAATAGGATGAATAGAGTAAAATCATGTCTCGCCAATATTTTACAAACAGCAGTAATTTATGTATAAGGTTAGATACGAACCCTATTAGTAATGCTAAGAAGATAGTATAGAAAACTCCATCCACATTTCTATGAAAAGAGCAAACTGAATGCAAAGCTTAATTTATCAAATAAACTCGCATTTGTTACATTTATCCTGCAGTAAGCCCCTTCAGAACTTAGACGAATATATGTAGCAGTTTGTCACTGAAATAAGTAAACCTAGATACATTGTTCATGTACTACAACTTCCTTTGTAGCCATTCTCTTAATACAACTTTGCAAATAGACATATACCATTTAGACGAATACCAGTCGCACAACCTATCAGGAGAGGTATTGATAAGATACGATGGTACCTACCATAAACTACTCATCGACATCCGCCCGAAGTAAAAAATAAAACAACATGATAATTGTCATTGTTGGTTGGGTGGTCCCTACCTTCCACATATCTTTTTGCACCCTTCCTCCCCACAACCTCCCCCGCCAAAAAAAGAAAAAAAAACATTATTTGAACTTTTTAATAAGGGGTAAATTTCTTCTTTTTACTAAAGATAAAATACACAGATAATTTTATTGAATCAATTTTACAAATACCAGTTGTTGTGGTCACGTTAGAAATTTTCGGAGATTCCTCTGTTTTCACTGTCTGATTCATTCCAGCGGCGTAAGACGCGAGGCGGGGAAGTGTGTGTGTGTGTGTGTCCCGCAGTTTTGACAATTTCATATTCCACTGATTCTCCTCTTTCGGACGCCTCCATGGTCGTGATCGGGGTACAGAAAGTTAAGTCATATCCCAAACGAACCGTCTCGTATAAAATCTTGGATGCCGCCAGTTTTCTCTTTGTCAGATTCGACCACTTTCACCTACTGTTACTCTGCTCTGAGGTCCGGTTTAGTAAAAGAGGTCCCCACCGCTTAAGGTGTATCATCAAATCTAAGGGAGGGTCATATAAGTATCCTTTTGAGTCCAGGAATTAACCATACGGTAATCTGTGCAAAACCTTAGGGACCCATCATTCTCCCTTACCAAGACAGCATTTGAAGAGTAATTGCTATAAATGATTCTCGTATGATCCCAGCATTTTCTTGATATGTTGTCGGACTTTCTCATACATAACCGTTTCTATTTTGCGATAAGGCTGTTTGAATGACATATCATCTGTAAGGTTAATCTTGTGCTGGTAAAGTCGGTATGGCCGATATCAAAGGAATCATTGGAAAAAGCACATTCTTACCAGGTTCTTTGCCTCATCTCACACCCAGTTCATTAGGTAAAGATAAGTTATCTCCCTTGTCCTTAACCATCCATTGGGAATCACCTTTTAAACTATATGTACTTGACAAATAAATAAATTCCGGAGCTTAAACTCAAGTTAGGTTTACCAGTATTGTTTCATAGTTTCACTGGAATCTTGGCACTAGATTTTTTTCTTCAAAACTTTGATAACACGAGGGTACATCGAATACTATAAAACATAACCATTACGATTCTCGGTGACTAGCCTATGTACATGTTCAGGTTGACGATAGTCATGAAAACATTATAGGTACACAGCTGATACTGTTATAAGCCACGCCCCATTGATATGTAGAGATCAGATCACTTCGTAACAACTTACTTACCGAGTCTGATTATGTTAGTACCCACACTAATATGACATGATCGATTTTGACACGTGTCTGGTACAACCAACATTAGAAATCTAAATTCATATATATACATTTAAATAATGATCTCTGTTACATGTAACATCATTTAGCATTCATATTCAATGAACGCATATCGAAATCAGTATGTCACGGGAAGCAGTATACTTAAAAAAGAAACATTTAAAAAAAAAAAAAAAAAAACACAGAAAAAGATCTGAAACACGGATTTAGAACAGAATCTGTTCTAAGCACGTGCTTCAAAAGACAATAAATTGGTCCCGAACTCAAAAGCATGTAAAACATGATGAAATTCACAGGAAGAATGATAATATATCGGTTTTTTAGCGCTAATGAATATTCAACATGCATAGAAGTTTGTAACAGCGTTATGTTGTAGGTGTTTCATTAAATCTTATCCTTAATAATTTTATATGTAAATGTAGCATACAATCTTCTTTCCTTCCTTTCTCGATTTTCATGTAAACTATATTAGGGTATTAGTGTGCCGGTGGAAGAACGCAATTTCATTTAAACTGACAGTTAACTAGAGAGTGAGGGAGGTTAACGGAACAGCCAATAATCCGACACTTTCGAACCTGATGGATATTAACGTTATCGTTCCTGTACCAACCACTTACAGTTTGAGGCCTCGTAAACCGTTAACATTACTTACTACAAAAACATCATCAACTGGTTGGAAAGGTTTCGGGCGTTGCCTCTGACTCGGTACAATTTTCAATATAGCGAAGGTAAGAAAAACGCACACACATTCTGAACTGTAGCTGTAGACATTTTAAGTAC